AACGCTTTTAAACTAATCAAAATCACCTCCTGCTCCTTGCTGGTGGGCTTTGTTCAGGCAGGATTGCAATAACAATGGGAATGATTTTACAGATTTTATTCCACTTCAGTGATTTATTACAAGTCCAGGGAGCTCTGACACGCGCTGGAGTCAGCGGCTCACGGGTCAGAGCATGGGTTAAACCCAGAGCTGGGCACCCACATGGCAACTTTCAATGTGCCTGCCTCAAATAAATAAAGTTGCTGCTCATATACAGCTGATAGATGCAGAAACTTTAAATACTGGGTGGCACTTATGAGATCCCCTTTGTTATCTTAAAAATCAGTCTTTATATTAACGAATATGGCGTAAACTTGTGGTATGGGGAAAATAAAAATCCCTTATCCTGTAGGCAGTGAGTTAACTGCTGTGTTCCACTGACCTGAGCACACAACCTGTTGCCAGATTTAGGTGGTGTTTGACTTGGTGGTTTTCCTGCTGCAGAGCTGAGCCCCTGCTCGGTGCAGGTGCAGCTCTGGCCTGTGCTCAGGGCGGGTTTAATCCCTCACTGCATTTTCAAGATGCTGAATTGAGCTCCAGGTGGAGACCCTGCAGAGCTGCAGCCCTCACCAACAGCTCAGTGGGGAGGTGTGGAGAGGAGGCTTCTGCCCCAATGCCAATACATATTCTGCTTTTCACACTGATTTTTCTTCATCTGCTTTTGAGAGCTGGTGCTAGAGCAGGCCGCCGCTGTTAGATTTCAAGTTGGAATTACCAATGAAAACCACTTTGTCCAATATCTGCTTTTACATAAAGCCTTCATTTATTTGTAGGAAATCTGAAATCACCTACATTTTCATGAAAACCTGGTGAAGGGTTGTTTTCCCTGGAGCTGAGGATGTGTGACATTTTCAGATGGAATAGCATTAACAAGAGCAGAGAAGTGAAGGGATTGGAATTGTCTTTCTCCATTTAGCATGTAGCTCCTAGGCAGGGTTAATTGGGCAAAGGTGGTCTGCTTCATGAAGAAAAAGGTATGTTCCCTTCCATATCAAGTATTTTATAAGATTTTTTGGAGAAAAGGCACCTTTTCATGTAGTTCTATAATACCACAAGTGCTGGGAGTGTGGGACATGGGCACATGCCAACAATCCATATTTTAACATACTACTGGATTTAAAATATATTGTGGATTTTTTTCCCCCCTCACATGTATGCTAGACAGATCATATATAAAGTTAATATCAAGTTAATCTAGATGCAAGGTGTTTTCAATTATTTTTCCTGTGGCAAGATTGAAGGCTCACATCCAGTATGTCCCATGGATAATGTTTTTGTGTTGCAACATTGGCTCTATAAATAAAAGTGAAACATTGCAGTAGCAAACATCTTTTTTTTTTTTTTTTCTGAAGTGCCTACAGCATGTCATTACAGATGGATTGATAGGCTTGATAACATTGAACTTTTGTCAGACCTAACGTGGCAGACTTGTTACGTGTCAGAAATTTTCTGTCATTTTTCTCACCATTCAAAAGGCAAAATATATTTGCAACCTTGAGTGACATTGAATATGGAAAGCAGACAGAAATTTATCATTTGACAGAATTGTTTTTGTTGAGTTTATTTTGACTTCCCCTTTTTTTTTTTTTTTTTTTTTTTTCCTTCAGTGGCAAAGCTGTAATCAGATTTTAAAATCCTGTCTACTCTGTTTCAGGAATATGGAACAGCTGATTGTGGCTTGTAAAAGCTCTATGACCCAGCCTTTTACAAATGTAAAACACATTCTTTATAACTTCACATTCAGATCATTTATTTTTGTGCTTCTTTGGACTGAGGCAACATCTGACCTTTATTATGGAGTTGCAGAAAACAGCTTGGCAGGGAGCAGGCAGTGGGGAAGGTCTCGAGCAGGAGACAGGACACCAAAGGATGCAGATGCTTAGAGAGCAAATTTTCATAGCATTAGTGCTAAAACTGGTAAGATTTATTCCTGCTCAGTGTATTCCTTCAAATGTGATTGCTCTCTAATAAATCAAAAAAGCTTTTTTTGGTGCCTTAACTCAGAAATTAAATCACAGTTTATTTTATGATGATTACATAATTTAAATAAGGTGTTTGTTTTAAAGACATGTGGAGATGGAAAGTCGGGTTTTGCAGTATAGGAGAAGAAGTGGTGGGTTTCTGGTGTAAAAAGCAGCAATGAACTGCATGAAAACATTTCATCAAAAGATGAAAACAAATACTAAGGCAGAGACAAGGAAATCCTGGGCAGAGCATTAAGAAGGTAGGGTTAGAAGAAGGAGGAAATGTAGTTTTCAGTCATAACAGCACCAATAGCTGGACCACAGCATTTTATGCTGAACAAGGAAGGAAAATATTTTTAATTGCTAACAGGAACACTCTGCAATCAAAGGAGAAACTTCCTATATATTAGCATGCAACAGCACTGTACACTTCCGAATGGATTATACCCTGGTGAAATCAAGGGAATAATGATGAGCTCCTCAGCTAGAAAGCTTTTATTCCAATATTTTGCTTCAAAATATAGACACTGTTAATAAGTTGGGCTGTATATCCTGGGCCACCTCACCCAGTCAATATTTTATGCCAGGAGGTCACGTAGCATTGTGGGAGCTAGAGAACAAAGCAGCTCTTCCTTTAATTTGTTTAAAAAAAAAAAAAAAGAGCAAGGGGACTTTATTAGTTTTCAATCCTGTTAGTGTAAACAGAAGTCGAAGCTGTGGAGCTGGGTTATGTGGCTCATTGCTGTTTCTTACCACGAGGCACATGGGGATGTGGTGTGAGCTGGGGGCAGTCAATCCCTCGCAAGGATCACGTTATGAAATACCGCGCGTCGCGGAGCCGAGCGCTCGCGTGCCTCCTCCCAGCGCTTGGAGGAACACATCCAAAATCTGTCTCCTGTCATATGCTCTCCCCGTCTCTTGCCAAGGAGAAGCGAGCAGACGCACGTTCTTATTTTGGTGCCGTTTGTTTTTGGAGAGGAAGGAGTTGAGGGGGGGGAGCGTTTTTCTCGGGGAAAAGTTTCTGTTTAAATCGCGTTGCTGTGAAATCGAGAAGGGCCTCGTTGGCTTCACGCGAGTTGGGATTTGGTTTGTTGTGCAGCTCTGAGATGACTGGATTTTGTTTTATTTCTTTATAGCCTGCCAGTGTTTTCCAGTATCGCTGAGGACAAAGAAATTATCATTTTGTCTGTCGTTGCTTTGAATCTAACGCTGCAGGGAAATGAGATGGTTTTAGTGGGTTTGTGCCTCTTCAGCTGCACTTCAGCAAAAGTTGGTGTTTCACAATGCACTTTTCTTTTAGCTTTTTAATTGTCTGAAACCTCCTCAAAAATTTCTTTTAACCTGTGGCTTTTAGCCAGGATCAGAAATGAACCAGTCAAGTGAAGCTTGAGCTCATCAAAGAGCCAAAAAACCTTGGTAAATCGTAGTCTATAACTCCAAAGGGTTGCAGTTGAAAGGCTCTCACCTCTCTTGCATAAATGTGAAATTCTTTTTTATTATTATTTTTCTTTACAAACTAATTAAATATTTTTTTTAAAAAAGCCTCATTTCCCCCTTGGGAATGAGGAGCTCCACTAAGACAAACTGCCTGTGGTTTTTACAGTCATGATGATGCTTATCTTCTGCTGCTTAATCCTCCTCCTCCTGACTTTCCTGCTGTCTCCCCTGAAAGCAGTGTGAGCTCCCTGCCAGTGCCAAAGGCATGTCAGATCTGTCACCTGCACCCTCAGCCTGGCCTTTGAGGAGGTGGGGTGTCCACTAAGGCAGATCAAGACATTTGCCCAAAAATTGAAGCCAAGCCCCCCAGAGCCCATTTTTCTCACACAGCCCTGCCTGCCCTTGCACTGCTGTGTGTGGGACATGAGCACTTCAGAGAGCAGAGTGAGAAGGCATTTCCCAGGTTCAGTGTGCATGGAACCAGTGCAGCAAAATCCTGCTGGGCTTGTTACATTTACCATCCCTGTGAACAAATTTTCTGTTTTGGAAATCACCTCCATACTGTCTGCAGTATCTGCCCCTGCTCAGCAGAGCAGCGCTGCTGGCCTGATGGTTTCTATCATAGTTCTTTGAAATTTCTTATGTAGGCTATTTAAGTAGGTATGTAAGTGAATGTCTTTGCTATTGATTTTTTTCTCTGCCACTGGCTATTTAGTTATTTATTTTTTTTCATTTAGTTCTTTAATGTTCTTCATTTGTAATGTGTAAAGTTCTATTTTACATGCAGGAAAACACCGGCTTACAAGGTGAATAAGTCAGGTGTGTAGATAACAGCACCTGACAGAAAGCAGGACCACAATTGATTTCAAATCCTGCCATCTTTCAGAGGTTTCTCATCTCTGCCACTGCTTCTAGAAGCAACCCTGATGCCCAAGTGAGGCTGCTGGAAATGCCTGTATAGAGGTGTTCCAGAGGTGGAAGCTGGTGAGCTGGGTAGAGCTTGCAGCCAGAGCCAGGTGGGCTCTGCACTCACCTTCTGTGCAGAAGGGGAGGAGGGAAATCCCACCCTTGCAACTCCTAGAATCACAGAATCTTTTAGGTTAAAAAGACCCTTAAGACCATTGAGCCCAACCATTAACCCAGCACTGCCAAGCCTGTCCCTAAGCCATGTCCCCAAGTGCCACATCCACTAATGATGGGGCTCAAGGATCTCAGAGGTGCTTCCCAATTGTAATGATTCTATGATATCTGTCTTTTAAATCCCTCTGGGGGTGGTGACTCCACCACTTTCCTGGGCACCCTGTGCCAGTGCTTGGCAGTCCTTTCAGTGAAGGAATGTTCTGTGATACCCAATCTAAACCTCCCTGGCACGACCTGCTTGAGCAGCAGGGCTCAGCGCCGTAGCTGGGAGTCGCTGCTCAGGGGCTGCTTCAGCGTCCTGGGCTGTTTATCTCAGAAACTCTCATTTTTTCATATCAGCCAGACAGAGCTGTCCTCAGATCTTCAGGTGCTGTGGTCAGTGCCCTCTCTTCACTATCTGCTTGTGCTTTCTCTTGTCAGATGTCAACGAGTGCACCACGGAGAACGGCGGCTGCCACGACCGCTGCTGCAACACCATCGGCAGCTACCACTGCAAGTGTCCAGCTGGCCAGAAACTGGGGGAAGATGGGAAATCCTGTGGAGGTAATGCTTTGTGCCATGTCTCACTGCTGTTTTAAGGAATCAGCAGACTTAGGAAGGGGAAGGAAAGGCTGGCTTTTATGTGGAGCCAGCTGAAGAGCGTGAGCTCAGAGGTGTCGGGGGTGCAGATCTTCTCATGTCTGGATTATGAAGATGTAACTGTAAGAACACTTCAAAGGGTTGGGGTTTTGTTTTATTTTGTCGAAAAAAAATGTTATCACTTAACCTGGATTGGCTGTGCCATGTTCTGATTATGGGATTTCCATCATCAGTTTAAAAACTTGAGGAAAGTGTATACGCTTGATAATATTTCATCTGTCTCTAAAGCAAAATGGTTCTTATCATAAAATACACATACATTTTCACATTTCAATCACAATTCCACAGCTAGAGATTAACTGAATGAAAAAGGATTTAAAACCACATGCTATGTAAACCCATTTGTCTTTTTCATAGGGGAAATTTAAGTCTAGTTTGTGCATTATAGGGTAAAATTCGTTCTTATGCAGACACTTAGGTTAGAACACACAGTGAATTATGGTCAGAGTTCCTAAAGGTGCTTTGGCAGACAGGGTGGGTATAAACAAGCCCAGATGATGTGCTGACCTACAGTCACTGCATTTTGTGCATTATCAGGTGCTACAGAAAGTGGGTTTGAGGTAGCCAAGGTGTGCTGTACTGCCAGGGCAGTTCCTTCTTCCTGAGCTCTCCCCAGCAGGTAACCGGGATGTGCTGCCACGTGATGCTCTGCTGTGTGCCTGGGTTGCACCTGCCCTGCATTTACTGCTGCAGTAAATGCATCAGTGGTGATATTTTTTCCATCTCAGGGCAGCTTTTCATGAACTGTATTATCATCTTCTCACAGGAAGCTGTGTCCTCTGGCTTTTCCCATTGCACAGTATCTCACAAATCCCTTTCTTCCAAGATTTCATTTTACCATTGTCCAACTGCTTTTTATGGTTTGTATAAAACACTGTATTTCTTGCCTGTGGTCATATGATTTATCCTAACTTCATAATTTATATGGCTGCGCTCCTCTTTTTGCTAAAAAATGATGGAATTATTTTCTATGGCAACCTATGAGTTGAAATCCACCTTGACAGTGTAAATAAGCTGTAGATGGTTATGCTATTTTGACTGAAGTATTTCATTATGGTCCTCCATGTTTTCATTTCAGCTTTTGGAGAGCACAGCCCAGGAATATCATTTATGATTCACAGATCCCTGCAACTTCACCTCTCTTACCTCTTTGGGGGACTGACTGGCAATAAGCCCATGAGCCAGTGCACAGATCTGTGTTTTGATGATTTCTCACTGCTTTCAGTACATGAAAGTTGCCCAAACCCCAAGGTTTCTGAAAGCAGGAGTCCTACTCATTATAATCCTTAGCATGCAAGAGTCATTTTTCCTTTAGACTAGTCTTATTTTGATAAGTTAGTCAAATTAGTGTTCCTTCTGCACAATTCAATTCTTAAAATATGCTTTAAATTCTAGCATTTGCACAGTCTTTAAAAACTCAAACAGAGCTTAAGGTATTTGGTTTTTGTATTATATTTTATCTGACCAGGAGTTTCAAATGAATATATTATTAGCTGTTTTGAAGCCATTTTTTTGAAATCTTCAGGCAAAAATGGAAAACCACAATGATCTGGAAACCCTCAAGTCACAGAAGAGAGTGAAGGTGGTGGTGTCACTAAATACACTTCAGCTTTTGCAGAGGTGACAATGGCAGGGAGAATTTGGCTGCACTGACCTGCAAGGAGGCAAATTTCAGCCAACTTCTGGCCACCAGGTGTTACAATGTGAGTAACTTAGTGGTTGGTTACTACCTGAGGGAAAAGTGAGCCCCCCAAAAAACCTGCATGTGCTGCTGGAAAGGCTTCCAGGGCGTGAACTGAGGTTTTATTAAATCCTCTGCATTGCTCAAAGGAGTTGTTTTTTGCAGATGGGAGTAAAACAGCTCCTCATTTAGGTTAACCAGTGGTTTTGGAGGAATAAAGTTTATTGTTGTCCTGGGTTGTTCTATTCTTTCTGCCTTTATAGCATCACTGTGCTTTATGTTACCCCTTAGTCTAAACTCAGGCGTTAAATAGATGTGCACTATTGTTCTGCTCCCATTGTTTGTCTCATGGTTGGTTTTATTTCAGTGGTGCCTGCAATGATCGATCAGTGTATGGGGTTTTTTCTTGGTTTTTTTTATAAGCCAGGGTACAAATAAAGTGTATTGTTAGAAAAGCAGCATGGAAGTAGCACAGATTTTATTCAGCAAGTCGTTATTGCTGGAAAGATTGATCGTGTTTTTCAGAAACAAAATAGAGCATCCTTCTGACAAAAGGGAGAGATGTCAGGAAAGAACTGTTGGGTTTTTAAAAATATTTTGTAGCTGTTTCATGTTAAGGAAGGGAAAATGGATAAAGATTCACTAACCAGCAACGTGCTGAAGTGCACTGCTGTTTTGATCAGGCGTTGCTGGGGGTTTGTGAGCAATTTTTTTTGGAGACCCAAAGGCCTAATTTCACATCTTGAATGAGCTGAAAATGCTCAGCATCTCCACCTTCCAGGGTGTCAGAGGTGTGTGCAAGACACAAAGCTCCATGAATACGCACAAGACAGCAGCATAAAATAGGTGAGATAATCTTAAAGTAGTTATTGCTATGAGCTTTGATCAAACCTTCTCCGTCTTGAGTGATTCTGTGGCTGGTTGGACCCGCCTGGGGAAGGGGATTGAGCAGCACAGCCTGGGACACCCAGTGCTGTGGGGTTTATCCTCCTTCCAAGGCTCTAGAGATATTTCCTGGCTGTTTGTAGGGATCTTTTCTGACTGTTTGGGGGTTCTTATGGCACGATATGTCATTCAGAGTTATGTGGTTTGTAAAGTCTTGCTTCACTTTGGTGAGGGATGCTTGAATCGAGAGGCAGGATGTGGTGAGCTGCAGGCCTGTGCATCTCCACAGAAATGCCAGCCAGAGCAGTGACCTGATTAGCCTTTCAAAACTAATTATCTCCATGTTGTACTGCAGCTTTCACTCTCCAGCCTTCATGCTCAGAACTTCAGTTTGCTTCTCTGACAGAGAAATATTTCCTGGCAGCTCCTGGCGTAGGCATTACAGATTGTGACAGAAAGCTCCTGCTTCCCTCGTGTGCCTGATGGAAATGAATGATGAGACGGGATTTGGCTTTAAATCACTGCACAAATAATGTGACAAATTAATATTTGACATTTACTCGTGTAGGACTGTCAGGCTGATGCCGTGCCCTGAGCATCTGTGTGGAGTTCCTGGGGCAGCCTGGGCACGGGCTGTGACCTGCAGAAAGGTGTGACCTGGTCTGAGGAAGGGAGAGGAAATGGCTGTGTGTCCAACAGCTCCTTGTTTGTGGAGCAGAGGTGCCACTCTGTCAGCGAGATAGGCTGTGAAATGCAGAGATATCCTCATTTCATATTTTATTCTAATGCGAAAAAGCTCTACTCAAGCATCGCAAAATGCAGAAATGGTATTTTCTGAACATAAATACCATGTAAAATGGTATTTTAAATGGTAATTTTAAAGCTCAGCTGTTGGCACAGGTCCAGGTCTGTAAGGGATGCCGAGGCTACAGCTACAAAAGCGTGTTTTCACACATGAATAAGCTGCAGAAGTCAAGTAGAAAAAGGTCGTGATCTTATGTTAACCTTCTTTGGTAAACTGTCATTTCTTATTTATATTATTGTGCTCTCATCTGTCAAGGCAAGTGAAGGGACTTAGAGACAAGTGAAGTCCTGTGATTAACTGTTGATGAAAAGCAGCTCCTATTTTGTTGATTAGAGTGATGCAATGGCTGTAACCCCATCCCCAGGGGTTTGGGTCAGACCTCGGAGCTCTGGCAGGTTTCCTGACCTTTGCCAGGGGGACTTTGGGAGCAGAGCCAGAGTGTGACAGTGCAAGGCCACCACTGGTTACCCCACTAATGCAGGAGTCACCAGCATCACTGCTGGAGCCTGATCCCAGGGCGGGGAAACTCCCCAAACACCGTTTGTTGCCTTGGAAGAGTCAGTGGTGGGCTAAAAGGAATAGTGAGGGACATGTCTGAGAGCCAGGGAGGGCTTATTAATATGGTGACAGCATTTATTAAGTTAATAAGGTCTGAGATACAGCTTATTCTTGTCAGATTCTGGTTTTGTTGAAGAGAAGAAATGGTATTTCTGTATTTGGGATGTTTTTCCTGCCCAACGAATCAATGTACAAATGTCTGCCATGTTCTGTGATAAATAACTGAAGGACATAATGCTGTGCACTTCAAGGGAAATGCCAAGGCATTTTTATTATATTTATTTCATTTTTATTATATTTATTTCATTTTTATTGTATTTATTTCATTTTTATTAGAACGGGAGGAGTCTACTGGAAGGATTCAGGATGCTTCTGCATTATCTTAGGTCTAAAAGTTGCATTTGATTCAACACACGGTATTGGCAGGCCATGACACTGAGGTACTTATTGCCAGGAGTACTTCAACAGAAGGAGAACTAGGAGAATATATTTTACAAAAATCAAAAACTACCAGCTCTTATTCCAGGTGCAACAAGTACCACACCAACTGAACTCAAATCTTACAGCACTCAAGTGAAGGCTCCCTTAGATGAGGTGAAGCCACCCAACCCTCTTCATCTTTCTCTATTTCAAGGCTTTGTCTTGAGAAGAGGAAATAAATCCAGTGGCAGGAATTGTATCACAATTATCTAATTGTCTGTAACTGAATTATTCTGTCCACCTAATGTCTGCCTCCTGGAGTGAGGGGAATGGACAACTCCACCTCATCACCTCAGCAGATCCTGGTGAACCATCTAGATAACTGAGGCATTTCAGGGTATTGGAATTTTACAGCAATTCTAAAAAGAAGAGGAAAAGAAAAAGACTTGTGAGGAGAGAGAAGGTGAAACCTAATTTCTGATTTTTCCAAGCTTGTTGTTAGTGGCTCTCAGGTATCCTGTGATTTCAGCTTGGGTTTTTAGAGCTAAGTCAGAT